ATTATCACCCTCAATTACAGCCTCAGAGCTCTGTGGAGGAACACCACTGAACTGAATATATTGTTTCATCTCACTACGAATAAGATCACTGACAGTCTCAACTGAGAGTGATTAGTCAAACTAGAACTCATGGTATGGGTCAAGCGAATACTAAAGGTTTGGGTTAAACAAGTACTCCTGGTCTGAGTGAAGAAAATGCTCATGGTCTGGGTCAAACAAGAACTCATAGTCTGCATCAAACAAGTACTCATGGCCTGCGTCAACCAACTACCCTTAACCTGAGTCAAACAAGGACTAAGATGTGCTTCAGGCAAATACTCATGCTCTGGGTGAAACAAGTACTCAAGATCTCCATCAAACAAATACTCAAAGTCTGGATCAAACAAGTACTCCATTCACCATTCAGGTCAATGTATCAGACATTCAAATTAGAGCAGTACTTCTGCAAGAACATGTAGATGGACTGTTTCCCATTATGTACTTTAGTAAAAAGCTGCTTAGTAGTGAGAAGGACTACTGTGTTGGATGGGCTTGTCTGACCATCATATTTGCCACCTGGAAATTCCAGAACTACCTCGACAGGAAGGGGGTTCATCATCCAGACAGACCATCAGCCCCTTGCATACATTCTGAGGTGCAAAATCGATAGTGCAAGGATCACCAGGTGGGCATTATACCTCCAAAACCACCAGTTCCACACTGAGGCCATCAAGCGGACTTTAAATGTTGGTGCAAACTGTACGAGTAGACTTTGTGCATATAGTCATTGTATATAGTATAAAACAAATACTGTAAATATTTTTCTTAACGAGGGGCTTATTGTTAGATATGCAGGACTGTTTCAATTTAAGTTTAATGAGAGTATTATGACTTGTTTGTTTGTTCTTGAATTTCACGCAAAGCTACATGAGGACTATCTACACTAGCCATCCCTAATTTAGCAGTGTAAGACTAGAGGGAAAGCAGCTAGTCATCACCACCCACTGCCAACTCTTGGGCTAATGAATAGTAGTATTGACCGTTACATTATAATGCCCCCATGGCTGAAAGGACGAGCATGTTTGGTGGGACAGGGATTTAAACCCGCAACCCTAAGATTGTGAGTTGAGTTCCTTAAACACCTGGCCATGCCTGGCTGTATTATGACTTAGATAGTTTATATAGCTCGAGTGTTAAATTTAGTTATTTTTAGAAGCGATAGTTATTACAAGTTTGTTTGTGTAACTGTTTACAAATTGTACGTTATATAGTTCACTAGTTATGAATTGGTGATTGTTATATTATTGCATCCTGTTACTAAAACCTTCTGAATTTTTCTCGTTGTTTTAATTATCATTGCATCATAATATCTAGTTGTATGTAGAACGTTCTAGACCTCTGTTGGGGTATAAATATGAGTCTAAAATTTAGTTAGATAGTTAGAGCTAGCTGCATGATTGTGAGTTTAGCCATAAAGAGTGTATAGTGATGATTTTTAAAGTGAAATTATCACAGATTGTATTGTAATAACAGAGTAGAGAAGAATAATTGATCTTATCAATTGTATTATAAAGTAATGAACCAGCATGTGTAGACTGAATAAAAATTAAGTGTAGACAATTATCTAACCCTATTGCCAACCTTTGATGGGTGCTATACCCACCTTCAATACTTTGCCCTAAGATTTACAAGCCACGTGTATGTACTTGACACAAGTGTATATAATGATTAAAAAGAGCTCTGTTTACACTATACTACACCAACACGCACAGTTTTCATCACAGGGTGCGTGCACGTTAAAATTTTTCTAAACTGAAAATGTATTTCCAATACTACCTCCGCTGACACTTATAGCTATTACTCGACCTCCAGAGTTTCTTCCTTTGACCATCAAAGCATTGGTCTGATTTTTTCTTGCTTGCTCCAGTCTTTTATACCCCCCTCAACTGCCCTTGGCGATATTTGTCTTGTGATACTCTACACCTACATCAATGTTCCCTCTATCCTGATACAAACAATTGGGATCCGAATGTTCATAGAGGTGAGAAAAAGCCAGCAAATGAATTGGTGAGAAGGATTTATCCCCTTCCCTGGCTGCTAGAGTCTTAGGAAGGAAGGACCTACTGGGTATAGCAGGACATAAGTAGAGTGATAAAAAGTCCTGTGTATATGCAGTGCAAAAAACTCTGACCTATGATGTCCACAGGCCAGCAGCAACAAAAAAATACACTTTATGGGAAAGATCATATATAGTACATCATGCTAAAGGCTCAAACAGATGTCAAGACAAAGCATGTAATACTACCTTAATATCCAAGTTAGGTAATTGAAAAGGCCTTTTAGGATGAAGGACATTAAACAATTTGAGAAGGCCAGATAACACTAGGGGACTAAAATAATGTCCGATGTTTAGAATACAGAAAACTAGTCAATAAGAATGCCTTATATAAGGTGATAGTAGACGGAGCTAGACCTTTGTCAAAAAGCCAGGTCAAAAAATTAGATATGGTTGGCAAATTTGGGTGAAGTGGATTCAATTTTCTCATGAGACACCATTGGCAATAAGTGTGCTATTTCCATTGATAAATTGCCATTTTGGCTTACAGGGAGATTGAGACAAATACAAGGCAACTTTAGAAGTTAAACCTTGATGATGTGCAAAGGACCACATAAATTCCATGCATGAAGTTTGAGCTTTGGAATGTCTGGGTGTACAATGTTGGATCGAGGTTGTCTCAACATAGATGGCCAAAGAGAAAGTGGCAGAGATGAGCACTCTTGAAGATACTGAAGAAAAAGAAACCATGGTTGGGCTGGCAAATCTGGGGCTACCAACAACACCCAACAAAGAGTGGATCAAACCATAGCCAGAACTCTGGGTAGCAGACAAACTGGAGGGAAGGCATAGAGGTGCAATCCTACCCTGTCTTGATTAAATGCATCTATTGCCAAAACTCGAGAATGAGGTACTGGGGATGAAAATGCCTGTAGTTGAGAGTTCCAATAAGTGACAAATGCATTGATCATTGGAATCCAGAACTGAAAGCAAATCTACCGGAAAACCTCGTGATGTAGCATCCATTTGGAGAATTCGGTTGCGCCGAGACAGATGATCTGCTATTAAATTAATCACACCTGGAATGTAGCAAGCTAGGAGGCTGATATGATGGGATTGAGCCCAGTAGAGAACATCCAAAGTTCATAAACACAGGTCCCGAGAATGTGGGTTCTCTTGATGGGAAATGTAAGATATGACCATGGAGTTGTTGGAATGAATCATTATGATTTTTCCCTTCAATAGAGCTAGACCTTGAGCCATTGCCCATTGGACATCAAAAAATTCTAAAATATTGATGTGGAAGGAAGATTCATCATCCATCCATAGACTCTGTAATTCCTGACTGTTGATATACACACCCCAACCCTAAAGTGAGGCATCTGTGAAGAGATGAATCTCGGGATGAGGGGGTGGTATAGGAATACCTATTGTAGTTCTGTTCTGATCCAACCAATACTCGAGATCTAAGATGTTGCTCCTGAATAAGGACACTGGATGATCCAATGGATCACAATTCATGATCCATTGGTCACACAATGACCACTAAATGGATCACATGTTTTCTCATTCCAAAGGAATTAGCGAATCAAGGGATGTCCACATCCCCAAAAGAGAGAGAACCATCCACACAGTAGGAGAAGGAGATGTAAGTAAGAGCCTAACTGCCCATTCCATAACAAGGAGCCAGATGGGAGTCGGCTGAGTCCAACTTAAATACATGTTGAAAAGGACACCCAGATGGACAATGTATTGAGTCAGCATAAGAATGTATTTCTCGACTCTGATAAGAAAGCCAGCCTTGGTGGATTCTGAAATGAAAATCTGAATCAACAAGATGGTGCCAGAAGTAACCAGTTGTCCATATAATGGTGTGTGCACTGGCCCAAAGAACCTAGGTGATGAGAAAAAGCTCATATGACTCTGTAGAAGAATATGGTGCAGATGCCAGGCCAAGGGGCAGAGCCCTGAACTGCAGAACCTGTCCTTTGTGCATGAAACATAGATAGTGGCAGGATGTTTCTGCCATGGGAATGTGGATATAGGCATCGGCAACATTGAACTTTGTCATCCACAGACCTGGTGAAAAATGCCAACGTAGGTTGAGAAAGGACTCAATCGTGAACTTGGGAAGATCTAAGAAAGATCGATGATTGGACACCAATCTACTGCACTCTTGGGCAAATAAATGGGAATAAAATCCTGGAAGAACAGGATCGACTCTCTCTACTTCTCCCTTAACCAATAACTCTCTGATAGTCCTGGAATGAAGATCCACACTCTGCGGACCTGTTGGAAATACCACAGGTTGAAAGGATATTGGAGGTGGGGATGTGAACTGACTGACCAACCCCAATGCCAGAACCTGGAGTACCCATGGATCCATAGTGAAGGAATTCCAGATGTCCAGAAAAATGTTGTAGCCACACTCCCACAGACACCACTAGCATAGAGTAGTCACTTGCGACGGTCTGCCCAAGTGGAGGAGCCTCTTGGATAAGGACGGGATATATTCTGGATACTAATTGTGTTATAAAGTAACTGAAACAGCATGTGTGGAATTTGAGAAAAGAAAAGAGACAATTATTTAAAGATCTGGATACAACTGTAATAACCAGCAGTATAATGAATATTTGTATATACGTTTGACTTGTTTTAATACATTATTTTACAATAAGTAGACTATGCTGCTGTTTGTTTATTGTTGAAATTTATCACCAACAAATCACAAAGGCCCATACATACATAAAACCTGACAATGCTATATACAAAATTTTTCTGTTACAGTAGGTAGTTTCATAGCTTTATTTAAAGATGATTATCAAACCTTTGACACACTTTTTCAGTTTGTTTAGAATGAAGAAAAAAAGAATTAACTTGCATTCATACTTTGTAAATTACAAAACAATTCATATTCCTCTGAAAAAATATTTAAGAAAATTTATTTAAAAAATCAAATACATACCTTTTTATAGCTTCTGGTTCTGCTAGCTTTTCGTTATAGTAATAAACACTGAAATCTTCAAAGTAAATTTCTCCTGGCTCCAAAAGCAGAAGTGAAAACCTTAAATAAAATTGAATCTACTTAAGTCAGTTTGTAACCTTCCCACAAATTATGTATGATAATTTTAAAATCATTTCATAAATTAAGAACTTTTCTTTCATGTTTATACAAAATTTATAATTATGCTTCAGAAATATTTTGATATTGAGGAATGCATGTATATTAGAATTAACTGCTTTTGTTTTCCTTTTCGAAATACACTAACTTAATATTTACAAGTTTTAAATAGACATCATCAATATTATTGTAAACTCCTGTGTCTAGTTAAAAGTTTTTGAACCAACACAAGTCATTTTGTGACATACTGGATGAGTAATTCTTTTTAAACTGTAATTTCATCAAGTAGGCTGAAATGGAACAATTTCCATCAGATCCCCACATTTAATCAAATCCTCCTTTCATATATATGTGGATAAATAGGGAAGTCAAGGTGTGATAAGCTAAAAATGTTGAGATTAGAAGAAAATGAAATATAAAGGTGAAATGAAGGATGATACAGAGATCTATAAAAAAGTTAAAATATTATTTGGGAAAAATATAAAAACAAAAGATAAAAAATTGCAAAATGTCAATATCTAATGCTAAGAGTTTCATGTAGAAATAAAAGAAAAATATGGCAGCCTTGAACACTATGAGTGGAAATTGCATTATGAACAAAAAGTTTACAGTAGAAAACCTTCATAACTCTCTGCCAGTATTTTTGTGGTTGAAAACAAGAATCCTACCTTCTAAATTTAGCTTACTGAGATAAACAGAAAGTGAAGAAAGCTACTGTTAGGAAAGTATTTTGCTCAAACATCAAATTATATGTGAAAGGTATTTATGCTTATTAAAACTGTAAAAATGAGAGTTTAGAATAAAACTAGTTCCTTTAAGAGTTTGAATAAGAACCCCCTTTTTTTTACGAAAAAAAGAAACATCACTGAAGTTCTTAACTTCTCAGCAAGTGTTTTTACCAATGAAGGAAATGAAGACATCCCTCTTCTGAACCCAATAAAATTAATTCTAAAACCTTAAAGCTTAGCTGCCATCTTTCAAAAGTGAATAGCTCTAGAGGGTTTTGAGCTGTAGTGAGGATGTTCAGGTACTACAGAATGACTTGAATCAATTGACAAATTGAACAAATATCTAGCAAATGCCTAAAATTATAGTAAGTGTAAGAAAATGGATTTTGATTACACATTTAATAGATGGGAATGTACATGATTATATTATAGGTTAAAATCTCAACTTATTTTCTCTTGAGGAAAGAAGGGTAAGAGATGATCTTATTGAACTATACAAAATTATCTGAGTGATCAATAGGAGAAAGACTTCTGGTTTCTTTATGCTATATTTTGAAGATAACAAGATCAGAGGAAAACTTTAAGGTTTAGAAAAGACAGGTTATGCTTCAGTTAAGACAGCCTAATTTTTCTAACTTATGGAATGAACTATCATTAGCAGCAGTTGAGGCCAGCATTTTACAGGAGTTTTAAGAAGAAACCTGATGATTTCCTGAAAAGTAAAGGACAGGTTTAAATTTTTAATTTTACAAGAACAGGTGTGCAAGTACAGCCTTAAAGAAACACATGGTCTCTTGTTGTCCATCGGTGATGTTATTCCTAACTAGTGAAGGACTGCCATTGTGATTTATATTCTTAAAAAGAAGGGGTCACACAATGATACGAGAAGATATGCACCTAACAGTTTGACTTCTTTTTCTTAGCAACAAGTTTGAATTTCTTCTCAGGGATTGTAAGAAAAATAAAAAATAAAGGATTTGGAAGGTTGGTATTTAATAAGCTTACTCAACTATTTTTGCAATTTCTTCTCCTATCTGAACAACTTTGACAAAGCCAGGGGGGAAATTTTACTGTCACTAACTGAAATTAAATTCTGATTCCTTTAAAAATTCCAAGAAGAGTACATCTTTTTAAGAAGCCAGTACCACCTTAATTTTGTTGAATTTCTTGGCAGTTCAATCTGAATAGTGCATGAAGAGGCACTGCTAACTTGTAGAAAACTTAACACTTAAGAAACAACAAGGAGTCTGCTGGGTCATCAAAGCTGTCCCATCTACTTAAAAAAAACTCAAATCCAGTCTTGATCAATTAAATATCTATCAAGCCTTCCCTAAACTCCATATATTTACAACATCCACAAAATCTAAAAGCAAACCATTCAAAAGTCAACAAGTCTGTTAGAAATGTAAAACTTTTTAAGCTAAAGATGACTCTTACTCTGTCAAAATTTGTTTTTGTTCCCTTGTCTTAACATTATTACAAGTAAATATAAAAACAATGATGCATCAATAGTATCAATTCCCATAATATTCAAAAACACTCAGAGAGCTTCCCACTAACTCTTTTTAGCCACAGCATAGCAGCTCATAGAATGGCTCCAAGTTTTATTATTATTAAGTACAAACTTTTAGTTCATAGCTCCATCATCTCTTGAATGATTTGAGATCTAATTACAGTTTTGGACTCAGGAGGTCAGACCCTTTCAACTGATGTATCTGACCATGCCCAGAGTCTCATAGATTAATTTACTCTAACCCTGCCTAAAAGAAATTCAATTTGAGGATAGGCTGGTAAATATCCTGATGAGTAATAAAACTGAATCAGGTATATGCACACCCCACACTTGGTATTGCTGGTGCACAAAAGTATAGCTAATAAAAAAGGAAAAAAAAAGAATCTTACAGATTAATTTACTCTAATCCTGTCTAAAAGAATTTCAAGTGCCACAGCTATTGAGGATTCCCTTTTGTTTCAAGAGAAAACAATTTCAGTGATCTTAATCTGTCTTCATATAACAACTTTTCTATCCTAGATACTATCCTAGTAACCCACCTTTTAACCCTTTTCAACACTTCAATGTCCTTTTTAAGGCAAGAAGCCCAAGACTGAACATAAAACTCCAGATAATGTCTGATTTAGATTTAATATTTTTGTAAGTACAACCCAAAATCCTGTTTGTTCTACCACTAGCAACACACTATTTGAATGGCTTAAAAGACTGATCAACCAGAACACTAAGATCCTTTTCTTCCATATGGGTGCAAGCAGTGATGCTGTCTTTGTTGTGCACATAAGGGCTAATGATATAGGTATGGGTAGACCAGAAGCTTATTGTTAAGTACAAGGCAATAATAAAGGCATTCAGAGAAAAGGACAATAATATCTTAATTTTGTCAGGGATACTTGCAAGAATTAACTGTGGGGATAAAATTATAAGTGGGTCACTATAGTTGAAGGCTTAGGTTAATATGTAAGGAAGAGCCACTTGGCCGTTTGGATTTGTGGGATCAGTTCAGTGGGAAAAAGAAGCTTTTTGGAATGGATGGTTTATATTTGAATATAGTAGGAGCTGGCTTGTTTGCAAGGGTTATTAACTCAACTGTAAGGACAACCTGAAACTATGATTGGATAGTGGAAAGGGCCAGAATAATGAAAAAAAAAAAAAAGAATAGTAGAAAGGGGTACAGTGTGGGAACAAAATACTATGATAGTTTTAATGGTAAGTTAAACTGCTATTATTGTAATGCTAGAAGTATAAGAAATAAAATGAATGATACAGAGCACTTGTCAGAACAGAAGATTTTGATATAATTGGAGTTACTGAAACCTGGCTAAATACAAACAATTTGAATGAGAGGAATTTCTTTGAAATACAAGTATATAAGTTTTTTAATAGTACTAAAAAAAGGGAGAAAAGTGGCTTTTTATGTAAAATGTGAGTTATAGCCTGTTCAACTTGATGATATCAAACTAATAGCAATGAGCTTGAATCTATTTGGGTTTCTGTTAGTTGTTATAAGAGAAGGTTTTTAGTTGGAATTTATTATATACTACCAGAAGAAACTGATGAAATTAATGAGAAACTCTACAGTGAAATAAAGAATTCAAAATTCAACTGCTAATGATGTTATAAGTAGGAAAGAATTTAATTTTTGGCATATAGATTGTGAAATGCTATGATTAACTCATGAGAAAGACTGTTAAAACTGTTCATGATGGTTTTATTCAATATTTGGCTAGGGAACCTTCTAGGAACAATGATATTTTATATTATTAACCTCTAATAAGGAAATGGTTGATAGAATAAACACTGGGGTGCATGTGATCATTGCTCAATTAGATTTGATGTTTTACTGCATATGAAGATAAGGAATAATGTGATTTTGGTCCTATGTTTCAAAAAGTAAATTTTGAAAAGATAAAACAATAATTATTTGCTGTGAATTGGGACAAAATATGTCCCATCTATAACAATTAAAATGTCTAAGGCACAAATGATGAGGCTCAAATACTTCAATATAAATACATCCCATTTGGTCGAGGACATTATGTTAAAAAAATATTCTGCAAATAACCAAGTAGACAAGTTCTTATGTCAATGTTTATTCCCAAAAAAGCCATGGTCCACAAAGTTGTCCCATCTGTAGTGCACCTTTGAATAACCATACTTTTTAAACTTGCTGTGGCTCTGATTTCATACTTGGCATTTTATTCCCATGCAGGTTACTTCAGTGAATATCAAAATATATTACTGTGTCATAATTTTTTCTAAAATTATTTATCAAGTTACTGAATGTCCAGTTCATAACACAAAATCAACAGAATAATTATCTTTTGAATTTTCCCTTCCCAAAACAAGAGTGCATACTGCTACCTTTTGATTGAGTTTTTCTCTGAATCTGTAGTAATAATTTCAAATCAAATGTCTGATAACTTCATCAATAATAACTTATAGAAATAACTTTTGGTTTGAACAGAAAAAGTAAGAGTTGCATGAAAATGTGGCTTATTTTATAGGAAGAACATTTTCACCAATCTCTGAACATCACTTTCTCATAATGAATATTTTAGTACTATGTGCCAACTTGGTGCAAATGTTTGAACTTTTCTTGGTATGTGGTCAAGTTCTTTTATTCTTCTGGTTCTGGAAAGAGCATCAACTATTAATGGTCAGCAGGTAACTTTTTCACTATTTAATTTATATTTTTGTAAATG